ATGTGATTTAAAAATAAAGAGGAAGAAAGAAAAGGAAACGGCAGGTAAAATAACAGGCAGAAAGAAGCATAAACAAAAAAAAAGCGGAATTTTCTCAGCAACAATTACGTTGTTATTTCACTGTAAGAAGAGAAGAAAATAAAAAATGAAGTAAATCATAAGATGACAAAAAATTCCATGTTATAAATCACTATGTTATCAATAAAACGCACATGAAATATAAAAACCCGGAAAAAAAAAAGAAAAAAAGAAGTAGCGTGTCACTATCGTACGGTAACTGTACGTTAACCAATTAGTGTAAAGAGAATAAAAACAACTAACAAACAGCCAATCACTGACTGAACGAAAATTACAAACAGTATAACGGTATAGTTTTTCTCTTCTTTCTTTTCTTTCCTATTCCCCTTCACTTCTCAGACAAATGGTAAAAGTAAGAAAAAGAAAAAAAATTATGAGTTTATCATTTTTCAGTTCAAAGCTCATCATTTCAAACTGCACTTTTATCGACAAGGATATTCAAGTGAATGGCACAAACATCCATAAACATACACTTATATATACACATACAAATAGATACATATATAAGAATACATTTTCTTCTCCGTTTATTGGAAATTTAAAATAATTAGAGAAAAAAGCAAAACAAAAAAAAAACATTTTTTTTACTCGTATTTCACCTTTTTTTTTTCTCGCTTTAGCCTCCCCTCCGCCCCACTTCCAATTTCTCCTCCACTCTCCTTCTTCCATTCATGTTCTTTCTGACCAAAAACTTTTCGTGTAAAGCGATTATTGCTGTAAAGAAAAAACTCATGCATTAATGTTCCAAAATTCGGTGATGTTGACAACGATTACAATATACATTTCTTCTAATGTCAGAAAACTATTTTAAATCCTGTAATTTTCTTTTTCTTTCCTTTCACGTTTAATATACCTTAATTTCTCGTCTTCTTCTTCTTCTTTTACTTTCTCTTCCCTGCGCTTAATTTTTAATCCTGAATAAGCTAGTCGGCTGAGACAAAAAAAAAAAAAAAAAAAAAAAAAAAAAAAAAA